AATAGGTCTTGAACACGTCTTATGTGTCTTACACTGTTCTGGGTGCTGTGGCTACAGCAGGGAAAATAAAAGACAAAAAGTTCCTTACACTTTATAAATCTTAAACTTATATGGCAGGAGAACAGCTTTGGTTGTTGGGGGGTTGCGGGATTGCGGGGTTGTTGGGGTTGGGTTGGGGTTGGGGGAGGCCTTGGCATTTCTTTTTCTTGGCGGGTTTTGGGCGGCGGCTTTGTTTTTTGGGTTAGAGGGTGGCCCCTGTAGTGAGACAGAGGATGTTAGATGGACTGCTTTGAGCCTCCTTTCCCAGACGTTTAAGGCAGATCGGACGGTGAGTTCTCGCTTGGAGGAGTCCTGAGCTTTGTGGGGTTTCAGATGCAGGACGAACACCCTGGGTGGCCGAGGAGCTGGGGATGGATGCTGTGGACGAAGGGTAGGCCGATAAAAGACAAGGAGGCCTAAGAAGCCTGGCACGTTCCCCACAGCAGGGAACCTGGTAGCCGGGGACGGGTGGAGACCAGCCAAGTCACACGGCAAGCCCGGGCAGAGCCAGGATTTGAACCCGGGGTCATCTGACTCAAAGCCCAACCCTTTCAACATGTCCCACTACTGTGAATGTGAGGCTGGGAGGTTAGACCAGAGTGGCAGGGAAGAGACATGCCAGCTTAGCGTTTCTGAACCTTCGGCTGCAGTGTGGACACAGCAGGCCGTCAGTACCAAGAGGAGAGGTGGTGACGGGCCCTGGCAAGGGAGGTGAAGATGGGGTATAATTTCAGAGTATAGTTGGAGATCCCGTTGGCAGGACGTGATCACTGGTTGAATGTGGGGGAAGCTGAGGGAAGAGGTGAGACGAACTCCAGCTTGAGCACCTGGGTGACAACGTGGAGGCTCCTAGATGTCCCCGGGGACAATACTCTGTGCCCATTTCTGCATCCTTGGCTAGTTCCATATCTTCCCTGCTTGACTCAGCCTCTTCCATTCCTTGCTTATCTTTGGAGATCCAGCTTCAGCCCACTTTAAGGCTGAGTCCCTTCTTAGAGACCCTGGAATCACTTTCCCAACCTGTTCTACAGCCTCGTTGCCTTGTTTGACCCCGCTCATGTGGTGTCGTGACCCCAGGAGTCTCATTCCTGCATGCATACACGTTCTTGAGGATGAAACCTAGGTCTTACCATTCTGTCGACCTGCAGGAGACTCTGAGAATGCATAAACAACACATGAACTAGACCAAGGGTAGCAGATGGATGGGTTTCATCCCAGCTGATTATGGCGGCCACCCAGGCTTAGCTGCAAAGAGTACTGTGATCAATTAGTGATGTCTGGGCAAGAGCATGGGGGTGGGGGGAGAGTGGCAGCCTGTATGTCATTTATGTGCAATCCCTTGAAGACAAGATCTGTACAGTTTTGACAGTATACAGCTGTTCTCAGGAAACATCAAAGAGGACGTCCAAGTGTCTGGCATGGCCAAAGGTAGAAAACAGACTAGAAGGTTTTAGAGAGCTAGGACCAGGGGCAGATAAAAGCTGTCCTTAGTGTAGCATTTCAACTTTCATGCCACTCTCCACTTGTGTGACTTTCACAGCAATGCCCCTAAACTACCTTTTGTACCCTGGCTGGAGGCTCTCAAACCTTGGCTAACAAGTGATTTTTCTAGGCAAATGCCTGCCAGCCAGCGGTTTCATTTTGGCAGCCCAATTCATTGTCGCACTGTGGTCTTTGAGCAAGTCATCTGAATATTTTATTTCCCTTATAGTTTTATAAAAGAAAGATAAAAACGAAGGTGTGGACACCAGTGGAGGGAGTGTAGTTCTAAAGGTAAGGTAGAAGCAGAGCAGCGATTTGGAACTTTAAACTACGGAATTGCTTCAGGCTAATCACCAGCCATTTAATAAGTGACGCCGCTGTAGTAACCGCAGAGCTGTCGCCCTGTGTGGTGCCTGGGCACAGCGAGGGTGTGTTTGGCCAGGTTGTAAGTGTGCCCCTTAATGACACACCAGTGGCCCAGTCCACTCAATGTAGAAGGGACACATCATAACTAATAAGGCTAGTCACATCAAAGTGGTCCCACAGGTGAAGGACAAATTTCTATGATTTTGAGTTGTTCTTACGTTTTACATGGTACTGTTCTTTAGGAGTGAAGAGAGGTAAGTTCCAGAAATATCGCAGGTCCAAAACAGGTCAGCTCCTAGGCATTCTAGATAATTAATCTTCTGACACTCAATAGAGACAAAAGTGGAAATTATGAAATGAAAGCAGTCGACTTCATCCTGACTTTTTATAGACTTAAGCTGATTGAGGCGTTTATCTTGGAGGCAAAGAATAAAGAATTTATATGAAATGCTGAAGCTCTGTCATAGATGCTTCCTGTGACACTAAGTGAAACTGGAGATTTTATAGCACTGTTAGCTGTCTGTGCAGGAACCATCAAGCCCTATTGCTTGCTGGCCTCTTATTATTTATTATTATTAATATTGATTGCTGGCCTCTCGTATATTTGACTTGCATGCACCTTTTCTGAATTACATTATATATGACAGCGAGAGATTATTTGTGTTGATTACAGGACGTGTTGATTGAACCCATGGTTGATTTGGAAACGGGGGTGCAGAAATTGGTGGGGCAGGGCTGTGGGTGTGCTGGGGAGGCTGCCATCACTGTAGACTGGAGACATCACATCGTCTGGGCAAAATAATCCAGCCCTCCAGGTCGTGTCCACAGAACCTCCTGTCACCGCCCCCTGCGGGTTCTAATTTCCTGTTTTTTAGGATGTGGTTTCAATCTTTGCTTTGTCGTTTACAGACCAAATGACCTCACTTCTCTGAACATCTCACCTCTGAAACGGGGAGTAACAGCAGCGTTTGCGCGGCTGCCATGCGGCCCAGCCCGGCGGTCGGATGCAGGCGGCCAGGCCTTGCCGTGACTCTCATGTCCGGCTACCGTTCACTTGCTGGGTGATCCTGGGCAACTTACAAGTGACCTCTCTGACCTTTGTCGTATGTAAAAAGAGGGTGACCATGCCTACTCACAGAGTGACCGCCTGGCGTGTGGCAGTGCTGAATAAATGTGGCCGTTGTTATCGTCATGTGTAAAGGGCTGGGCAGGTAGTAGGAATTTTTGCTGCCGTCTTCCTCCCATCCCCATTTTCCGTGTTCCGAACTCCTAGTCATCCTTTCTGGGCCAACAGCTCCTGGGAGAAGCCCTCCCCGACTGCCCCTGCAGCCAGGGGCTCCCTCTCTGTGATCTGCCAGCTTTGCGCTTCCTTGATTACGTCGTGATCTACCCGCCTACAGGTCTGCCTTTCCTACCAGCCGGAAGCCTCTTGGCACAGAAATGCCCCTCCTGTGGTGCAGCCTTGCTCATGCGTTCCTGGGCCTAGCTCAGTGCTTGCCGCACAGGAGGGTTTGTGATGTGCGAGGGGGTGAGTGAGCAGGCGGCTGGGCTGAGTGAGTGAATGAATGAATGAGTGAATAAATGGAGTGAAGGACGGAGCTCCTGGTCAGAGAGTGGGCTGAACGGAGTGTGAGGCTAGCTTGGAGGTCTGAGCACAGGTTCTTTATCTGGTGAACTTGAGTCTGACCCATCCAAAAGCTTGCTCATATCTGCGTCTGTGCGCATCCCCGGGGGAGGTCCATAGCTGTCGCCAGATTCTCAGGAGTGTCCCTGGCCCCTCAGTGTTGACAAGCTGCTGATCTAAACAGATGGGCTAGGCAGGCCCCACTGAAAGGACGGAACTATGTGATTGAAGAGAGGATGTGACAAAGGAGAAAAAATCAGAACTGGCAGGACACCGAGTCCTGCAGGGCCCTGAAGTAGGGGCCTGGCTGTGTGCACAAGCCCGGACGGCAGCCCCTGTAGTCTGTGCAGGCCTCGCTGGCTCCTCCAGGCAGCTCTCGTGCGAGGAAGCTCAGGGAAGGTCTCTGTGTCTTTCACAGTCTTGATTCTTACCCAGAATCTGCCAGCCGAGAGCGTCTGTCGGGCTCACTGGGTCCATCACCTGCCTCTGAGAGGACCAGGCCCAAATGATTCCAGGCAACTGCTAGGTCTTTCCTGCCCCAAACAGTTTTCTGCCCTCCCCTCCCCTTCCTTTCCCTTTTCTTGTGTTCATTATCTCATCCTATTCTATCTTTGGCTATGAAAACTTGAATTTCATTAAGAGCAGTGGTTTTCAAAAATGTGAGTCTTGGCCTATTAGTGAATTCTGAAATGGATTTAGAGGATCATGACCAGCTTTTTTAAAAAACACCAAAACAGAGTGTGGTAGAAAATGTTAGCATGCATTACACATGAAGTGTTATTTTACAAAGTTTCCTTTTCAGCTCTATGTGTACCGGCTTGTGACACATGTTTCTTTCCATGCGTTGTGGTCCAAAGTATTCAACAAGCACTGCTATCGAGCACATCACAGGCATCCAAGGGCCACGGGTCAAAGCCCCAGCCCCTGAGCGGACGGTGGTGAGGATGAGGCTGGAGGCTGCACTGGGAAGCCCTTCTTCCCTGGGCTTGCCACGTGGCCTACCCCTGTGGCTCTTTCTCCCTATTCTATTTACATTTTGTTGCATCATCATAAGAACCCTTGGCATGAGATCTACCCTCTTAGTGAACCATCAAGTGTGCAGTACACTGCTGTTGACTCCAGGCACAGCGCTGTCTGGCAGGTCAAGTGCATCTTGCTTGTCTGAAACTTTATGCCCCTTGCTGAGCGACTCCCTATTATCCCTCCCTCAGCTCCCCGTAACCACCATTCCACTCTTTGATGCTATGAACGCGACTATTTTAGGTGCCTCGCATAAATGGAATCACGCGTTATTTCTGTGACTGGCTTCTACAGATGAATGGACGAAGCAAACGTGGTCTGTACATACCGTGGAATACTAGTCAGCCTTGAAAAAGAAGGGCCTTTCTCAGTATGTGGCAACGCGGACGGACCTGGAGGATGCTATGCCGAGTGGAGTAAGACAGTCGCTGTCGCCCTTCTTGATTCTTTCCTCTCCTCTCCTGGACAGGTTGTGTACGTCACCGCCACATTCCCCTACATCATGCTTCTGATCCTCCTCATACGAGGGGTCACATTGCCTGGGGCCTCCGAGGACATCAAGTTCTACTTGTACCCCGACCTCTCCTGGCTCTCTGACCCACAGGTAAGAGTTGCTCGCTCGATGCACAGTGTCACCCGCCCCCACTAGGAAGCCCTCTGCAGGGCGCCTGCCCCTGGCCCCCAAGGCTCAACGGCCAGTTGAACAGGTGGAAGCCTGTGCACTCCTTCTCAGGATAATTTTAAATGCATAAATTAAATGTGTAGGAAATCAAATATTTTGAAATGCAGTTACCAAAACATTTTAAAAAGGTGGATTTGTGACATGGTACTATATGCGCTATTTTTTATCAGTCCCTTAAGTAGGCAGGTCCAGCAGCAGACCTGGTAACCTCTGTGATTTCAAAGCAGCGATGAGCGTAAAGGATGCTTTGAGATAGCCCTACTGTGATATGAAAATGCCTGGAGTTTCTACTGCTAACGGTACTGTGGTTCGTTGCCTACATTCATAATTGAAGCAAATACTAAATTTCACTTAGAAGTTAGTGAAAATTAGGAAAAAATCCCCCCCCAAATGACAGATCTCTTCAGTAGTGTGTCCCAGTGAGAGAAACCGGATTCTGTGGGTGAGTAATTTTCTTTGTCGGGGTAGCTCACAGAAAGGAAGGAATTGGAGGAGCTGGCTAGCCTGTCAGTTGTCCTTGGTCAGGCATTGATTGCCCTGAATAGTAAGTCGTGACTGTTTATGCCTAAGCCTCTCTAAGTGGCTACAAATTAAACGAGAGATGAAAACAGAGCATCTTGCCAGCGAGGCGGTTCTCAACCTCCAGTACATGTTAAAAACTCCTGGAGTGCTTTTGAAAATCCCAATTCCCAGAGCGCAGTCCAGGCCAATTAAAATACACTCTCTGGGGGTGGGTCCCAGGCATCAGTATCTTTTAAAGGTCCCCAGGTAATTCCAGTGTGCGAAATAACGCACTCAAAGATATGCGAGTGGGCAAGGAAGCGCCCATTTTTCTATTAAAACAGACACAGAACACATGGAATTACATTTTTCAGATAGAACGTGAAGCTTGCAAGAAATCTCCACTCTGCAGTCTGTGCCTTCCAGTCACCCCTGTGAGGGGAGCTTGGGGGCAGTGTTTGTGGCAGGACGGTCAGTGCGGCTCAGATGCCCCTCACCACAGTGAAGGGAGTGGACGGTGGAGTGGAAAGTGCTCATTTTTCTCGCAGCCCTTGCAGGGCTCAGAGGCTCAGGCCACCCCGGCACCTGCACTGTGTCCTGAGTTGCAGGCAGAATCCCTAGGAAGAAGGAAATTAGCTTCTGCTGGCCTTGCCCCCTCTGGCCCCTGGTGGCAAAGGCTCCGTTGAAGAAGCAGTTTTGGAAAACCTGTTCCCTAAATCACTGGTCTGTGCATTTTTGCGAGGCCCACACATGCTGCCTTGTTCCAGGACGGATTTCCCATTTTCTCCTCTGCTCAAGGTGGTCAGTCAGGAGGTCCTGAGCATCACCCAGGGTTTCCAAACCTGGCTGATCATCAGAATACCTTGGAATTTATCACAAATGCAGATGCCAGGTCCCCTTCCTGGAGGGTCAGTTTCAGTGGGACTGAGATGGCCCCTGGTGTAAGTATCATCAAGAAGTTTCAGGGGAGATTCCGATGATGGAAAAAGTTTGGGGAAATCTGGTTGGCACCTACGACCTCAGAGCCCACAAATACACACACACACACACACACACACACACACACACATACACACACACACACACACCCCAAGGTGAGGCCAGACAGTTCCCCATTCAGATCTTCTGCCCCAATCATCCCGTTTCCTTTTAGGCCCTGGCTACCAGGCCAGTGCTCAGCTGCAAGGCTGGTCCACGGAGCAGCCACTTAGTGGCTTAGTGGAGAGCGCATTGGGCTGTTGTTGGGACGTGGACTTCCCTGGTTCTCCCACTGATCCTGAGTGACCTTGGACAAGTTCCTTCTCTCTTCTCCCTCCTGGGCCTCAGTTTCTCCACTGATGACATGACAGGGTTGAATTCAGTCAGTGGTTTTCAAAGTGGATTTGGAGAGCCCTGGGTTTTCCATGAGCATGGGTTGGCAAACTACCACCTTCAGGCCAAATCCAGCCCTTACTTGTTCTTATAAAGTTTCATTGGAACATAGCCACGTTATGTGTTTACATGTTGTCTGTGGCTGCTTTAGTGCTGCAAAGGCAGAGTTGAGTAGTTGAGACGGAAACCACATGAACCGCTGTGTTGGGGTTCCTGAGACCACCACACATTCGGTGCGTCACTAGAAGGACTCAGAGGCAGTTACGCTCAGGGGTATGATCTATTTGCTTCACCAGCAAGAGAAAGAGCCCCATGAGCCAGCCAGGGTCCGCAGGAAATCCACGCACAGGCTTCTCGTGTTCTCCCCTCCTGCAGGGAGGGGACACACAGGACATGCTCTTTCCTCCAGCGTTGCAATGTGGCAGCACGTGCACACCTGTTCAGCCCAGAGCAGCCTTCCCGTGACTCAGGGCCCGGGTTTGTCATGCAGGTGCCTTATTGACTGCACAGGCGCTCTCTGCCTGCATGATCAATCACGAGCCTTGGAATTCCAGACTCTCAGAGGAAAAGCAGCTATTCCGCATAAATCACATTGTTGTGCAAATGGTCTAGGCAGGCAGCCTGCGTGAAATCCAACGTCCCAGGCGCACAAAACAACCGTATCACTTAGTGCCACAGGAAACATCTTAAAAGCCAAGTTCCCAGACACCAGTCAAGAGCCCACCCCGCAAGTGAGCCCTGCTACTGAGCAACACAAACACGCTCTGTTAATTCTTTCCTGCAGACCTGCAAACCCTCGAAAATGTACCGTTTGGCCCTTTCTAGAAAAGTTTGCTGACCCCTGCACTGGAGCACCCTCAGGGGCACCCGAGCAGTGGCTGCGGGCTGCGCCCCCACCTGCCCCCGCTCCGCCTCTGCTGCCACTAGCCTGGTTCCCGCACCACCGTCTTCCACTTGAAAACTGTAGTAGCCTCCTAAGGGGTCTTCCCGAAACGGGTCCTCCAGGCCACCCCACCCAGCAGCAGAGGGATCTTTTGGAAATGCAAATCCGATTGTCACCTTCTAGCTTAAATGCCTTTTGGAGTTCCCGTGGTCTCTGGAAAAAGAGTCAGATGGTGGGGTCCCCATGGTCCTCTGTGAGCTGCCTTGCTGTGCCCCTACCTCTCTTCCCCCGTTTCAGTTCATTCCTGGTATCGGCCTCCTTTCTGGCTCTCAAATAGACGCGTCCTTTCTGCCCAGGGCCTCGCACAGACCGTTTCTCTGTGGGGGACTCTCCGTCTTTCTCCCCTAGACCCTCGTTCCCCACCTCTGCTGACTAACACCCACTCATCCTTTAGGACTCAGCTTGAATGTCACTTCCTCAGGCAAACCTGTCCCAGCTGCTGCCAGGCTCCACCCCGCACCCCATGCTTGTTTTCCAAAGCACTTAGCATGTTTATAGTGAAATGTTTATGTAATTGTATATATGTGTGTTGTATGTATGATTTTGATTTTGACAATGTCCGTTTGTTTGTCTGACAGATATTTTCTGAGTTCCTACTCTGCATCAGAGATTATTGTAGGTACTGAGGACATAGCAGTCACACAACAGTGATCTCTGCCCTGTGGAGTTTATATTGTAGTCAGGGAGGAAGGCAATAAAAAATTTAAAAGTCAACTATAGAATCCATTAGATGGTGACCAGTACCATGGAGACAAAGGCTGGCAGTGGGAGGGAGGCTGGAGGGGAGAGGGCTACTGCTTTCACATGGTGCCACAGGGGCCCTGGCTAAGAAGGCAGCTTGGGGGCAGGGTCTGTGTCTGCCTTGCTCACCGTGTGTCCCAAGGCCCTGGCGAGCTCAGTGCCTGGTACATAGCAGGTGCTCAATGTTGACTGTCTATAAGAGCCAGATCTATTTTGATTTTTGAAGAAAAGGTTCTGTTTCTTTAACAAAAAGAAACTAACCTCCAGATCACCAGATCTGTGAACTGTAATGTAGTTTTGATTCTCTGTCAGTGCTGGCCAGGAAAGTGTGTGTGTGTGCATGTGTGTGTGTGTTTGTCCCCACGAAGCAACTGCTGATTCTCTGGGGCAGAGTGAAGGATAGTGAATCCAAGAGGGAAAGGAAAACAAAACTCCATGTAAGATGGTGTTTGGGGGAAGCTGGGGTGTGTGGGGTGTGTTGTGGGAAGAAGCCCAGCACGGCCCAATTCCAACTGTCCCCATTTGGGAACACTTCACCCCAGGAAGAAGCCGTGGCTTAGTTTTTATTATTGCTAGAATGAGGCTGTGTATATTCTCATACACACACATGCATATATACATGTTTAGTATCCCTGATCCTAATATCCAAAATGCTCTAAAATCAGAAACTTTTTAAGTGCTGACATGACACTCAAAGGAAATGCTCATTGGAACATTTTAGATTTCGGATTTTTGGATTAGGGCTACTCAACCTGTACATACATACATATGCTCGTATATATCATATATATATTTTAAAGTGAGGCTAATCTAAAGGCATATATTAAATAAATATTAGAACAAACTGGATGTGGCAAAAATAGTGCAGGTGGAGGTAGCTGGCTAACACTTGGGGCACAGAGCTGCGGAGCTAGAGGAACGTCCCAGGTAGTGTTAGGGCTTCAGGTAGCCACATGGTTGCCCTGGAGACAATCGAGGCCCAGCTCTCAGAGTTGGCGAGAGTGCACTAGGAGACCAGTCATCTGGAGGTCTCTCACCAGGAGGTCAGTGAAAGATTCAGTCTTGTATTTCTTGGTAGTGTTTTCCTTTTAGCAAGTCCAAATTGTTTTTTTCCTAGAAATGATCCTGACTTGGTTTCCCATTTGCACTTCAAATTGCACCACAAAGAAAAGTTCCTGGAAAGTGTCACTGCACCTGGTTGTTTGGCTACCCTGGGAGTGTGGGCACCCTTGTTTCTTTGGGATAATCCAGAAGTTGCAGTCCTCAGACCTCCCGCAGCTGTAGGAAACTAAAGAGGTGGTTCTGTAACACCAGACTCTCTCCTGCGGGTAGAAAGAGGAAGGAGAGATGATTAGAGGGGAAGAGAGCAGGAGGGCCAGAGGGCTGGGCCTTAGGGTGGGCTCCAGGACAGGTTCAGGTTTCCAGCCTCTGAGCTTCATTGGTCCTCAGGGCTGCTCCATCCAGTCCCTGGGGGCTGGGGGTGGGCTCAGATAGACCGAGGCCCAGCAGGGGAGGAAACAAGCACTTGACAGGGAGTCCCTCCTCCTCTGGGCTCCAGGAGGGCGGGGATTATGACAGTCATGTGTTACTGAGCTATCGCCAGAACCCAGCAAAGCTGTCCCTTAATTTATTCCACTAGTATTCATTGCATGCCTGCACGTGCCAAGTGCAGGCATGTAGGTTATGTAGAACGAATGAGACCCTCCTGTCCTCAAGGAGCCCCCAGCCTGGTGGGAGAGGGCAGAGTCTCACCTCTCCTCACCTGGGTTTCCTACCCTAGATGAAGAGGAAAGTGGGATTGGGCAAGATCAGAGCTTCTCATCTGTTCTGATGGTCTTTCGAGAAGGGGCGGCAGCTGGTTATTGGTAATCGAGCGCCAGAGCCTGCGAATGGCTCGTGACTTTTATACGTTGGAGGGGATTTAAAGTGACTGCATGCATTACATCAGCTTCCCTCTCTTGCCTTACCAGGAGCTTACTGGGAGGCTCTGGTGGGACATCAGGGGAGGGCCGACAGCTGCTGCACCTGGCATTGGACAGAACCCCAAAGTCACCTTGTTCCTCCTGCATCCTGAAGGGCCAGCCGCCCTGGTGCTCTGTGACAGCTGTGGGGACTGCACGTTGTCAGTAGAGCTTACTTCTCTGCAAACGTGTGGGGCCTGGCCTGGAGGGGTGGGACAGGTACAGGTCAGCGGGGTGGGGAAGGGAGTCCCCAGGGCGCCCTCCCCCGCCCACAGGAGGCTCTTCTCCACATCATGGCCTCTCCACGATTCAGCGTCTCCATCAAGCCCGCACTGGTCCCCAGCGCCCCTTCCCTAAGGATTACGAGGGGCTCAGACATGCCTATTTGCTGTGTCGTTTACATTTCTAAAGGGACACGGGGCATCTGACTGGTGCAAAGCTCTGGACCCCAGCTCCCGGGGCCTTAGACAAGGGCAGGCTCCCTGTGAGGAGTCCTCCTGTCCCCTCTGGGCTCGGGAAGCCTGGATTCTGCAGGAAGGCTGACTAAGGGTTGAGCGGGGCGGCCGTGGGCACATTCACAGCGACCCCTCTTCCCCCTCCCCAGCCAGTAATGCCCCAGAAACTCCAGATGTGGTGTAAAGAGAGCTCAGATGGCAAAGCAAGTTGTTGCCACTCTCTTTGGAGCCTTGGAGCATTTCATTTCCTGGTCTGTGAAGTGGCGACCTTCTTCACAGGTCAAGAGGGATAATTGTGAATACTGTTTTAAAAGTCTAACAGGGTGCACACTGACCAGTGTAGTCCCAGTGAGGGCTCCCTGACTACCTTATTTAAAATTGTCCCCGCTTCATTTCTGGCACATCTTGTCCATGCTTCTGGCTTTCTTGTCTTTGAGGCACTTTTCAACATCTCCAACGCCATCCATTTGTACCATTTTCCACCTGCTAGAGCGCACACTCCATGAGGGCGGAGAGTTTATCTGCTACATTCACTGTTAAATCTCCAGCCCCTGGAACAGTACCTGCAACACAGGTGGTATTCACTAAATATTTTTTGAATGAATTGAAGGAAGGAATGAGTAAATGAACAAAGGGAAGAAGGGAAGAAGGAAAGAAGAACAATTTCTAGCAGAGCCTGTGTCACTCTTGGACACGGTGGTGTAACACACGCTGCAATCACGGGCATGCACTTCAGAAAGAGGAATTTTTGGTTAGAGGAATCTGGCACCGACGGCAGGAAATGTGGGTCACTCTGTGCCACTGACCAGCTGGGTGGCCTTCAGCCTGCCCCGTTACTGCTCTGGCTCGGCTTCTTGCCTGTCCGTTGCAGGCAGGAGCATCTGTGGCACCGTGCGCAGTGAGGCGCGTGTGCGCTCGAATGCCAAAGCGCTTCTCGTCCTCATTTCTGGCACCGGGCCCAGGGCCTGGCACATAGTAGGGCTCCAGGAGGCTCCGGGGCTCCCCAGCTGTGGGCAGGACAAGTCTGGGCCCCGCAGCCCACGGGGGAGGCTTTGAGCTTGGAACCGAGTGACTTTATTGTGGGTCCAGCCAATTAAGTTTCTCGTCAAGAACTCGAAGCGACGCAGCAGCTCGCCGCCTTGTCCCGCGATTTGCATTCCGTGGGCTGTCACAGCTTTCTAAACACCTATTTGTCTTCTCGGTCGGCCCCGTGTTCTCTCTGAAGCGTGAAGTGCTTCCACTCCATTTTTTCCCCTCAAATTTTTATCTTCTGTCTTTTGAGTCTTTGGGGAGCTCAGGGGGTCTTGTGGGGGATCCACTGTCCCCGCCCCAGAGTCCTGCCACTCTCACTCTTCGTTGTGTTTCGGTGCGTGTTTTCAGGGCAAGAACAGAAAGGCCTGCACAGATCCGGAGGGCGGGGTGTGCTTTCCCAGGGCACTGGCGCACCCGTTCCCCGAAGCAGCCTCTTCTGTGGAGGGACCTGGTGCCTGAGGCTGAGGTGTCGACCCCTGGGGTTGGCATGGAGGACGCCCACACGGGGAGAGCACCTCAGAGCCCAGACCCCGTCGCCTGTCTACCCCACAGCACGACAAACCAGGGAAAACAAGACCCTGGTTTGAGACCCCGCCTGCTGGCCCTCAGGGATGTTAGGGAGCAGTTGCTGCCACGTGGGGGCAGTGTACTCTGACGCTAAACAAGAACCCAAAGAAAAACGGGCTTTCTGGCCGCTGGACTTTCAAACCAAAACGGCCATATTGACAGCGAATTAGAGACATTAAATACGTTCTAGAAAACATTGCAAACCTCACTGATGTGAAGGACACGCTTTGGGACTGAAAATCTCCCACGGTCTTTTTCCAGAGTGCTTGACTCTGTGTTAGGGTCGCTGTTCCACCAGCGCTGGTTTGTTGTCCACTCAATTCCAGGCACTGGGGGTGTCAGATCAGATTGTCGCACATGGTGTGTGACAAGGAGAGGACAGTCTCTTGGGAGAGACACGTAATTAAGTCCATGACAATGATGAAGGGCAGTGCTGGGGTTGGAACTGACCTGGCAGCTGTACTACTTCCAGTCTGAGGGTAAATTCCTCAGGCGTTAGAGACGCATTTCTGATCTAACACCACACACACTCAAAGAAAAGTAGTGGATGTTTGTTCTTTTCATGGCTCCTTGAAATTCCTTGCGAGTTGCCCGCCTATGGGATCAAAACTGTGTACAGGTCCTTATATATGTCCTATCTTATGGGTCATGAGAATTTTCAAACCTGTCTTAAAGGTTTTATAAATGAGGGGTCTGAGGTTCTGAGGGGCTAAGGCTTACACAGCTAGCATTTGATCTCAGGTGAGTCCGGCTTGGCTGCCAAGTATAAGATGCGATGCTGAAACTCTGTTGTATCTGATTTTCCTATCTCTCTCTGTCTCTGCCTAGGCGTGGCTGGCAGTCCTGGCTCTAGAGTCTTTGAGCATCCCAGTGTTATGTGACTACTTTGCAAGAATCTTAGAATCCTAGCCCTGGGCAGGTGTCATCTCCACCCAGCAGGAATTCCCTCTGCGATGACCTGGTCAGCCTCCAGTTGGGCCCTCATGCAACAGGGAGGCCCCTCATCTCCACTTTGGGACAACTGTCTACTCAGTTGTTTCCCAATGTTGAAACATTCATTCATTCATTCATTCATTTGCTTATTGTTTCTTGATGTATCTGCTTTAACTTGTCAGTGCCCCACTTTGAGAGTGTCCACCGGGATTGAACATACTAAGTTAAGTGTAGCCTGAACAACTGAGGCACAAGTCAGCCTCCTCTGAGCTAATAGAATAGCCTCCAACGTGAGCTTCCTGCCTCCTCTTCCTCACACAGTAGACCAGGGAGCTTTTTAAAAGGGATCCTGGATTTTGCAACCTCCTGGCATTGTTGTTTGAATGTATTTTCCTTTAATTCTATGAAAATATTTGTAGTAGTTACTTTAAAGTATTTTCAAATAGGTAGCTTAATCACTGGGTGACCACCTTAAACTTGTGTAGGTTCAACTTTAAGTTTTCTCAGTGCAGATCTGTGGAAATCCCAAGCCGTTTCCCAAGCCCCTCTAACTTAGCTCAGTAGGACTTGGTCCAAGCTCTGTCTCTCCTGTAAGTCTTGTGGGAGCCTGGCTTTAGGCTTTATCAGGATGGGTGTAGAGTAGTCTCAGTCTGGAGCAGTGGATCTCAACTGAGGAAATTTTGCCTCCCAGGAGATGTTTGGCAATGTCTGGAAACATTTTTTTTTTTTTTTTTTTACTGAAAATAGTCTTTTTCCCTTTGCCCTCCAGTTTTACATTATTTTTAACACAAAAAGTCAAGAAGATCAAATAACTAGACAGTAAAACACTGACTTTAAAAAATTACATCTTTAAACCCACGACAATCATATTTCAAAGCAAGCTTGGCCACTGGGGCGACACATAAACCTGTGACCCTTTCTCACCACTGACACGCTGAGACTAATTTTTCATAAAGAAAACACAAGAAATGCCATTTAAAAAGTGTATTTTTCCTTAATACATTCTGCAAATTTTGGTTAGCAGATATACTGTAAGGCTCCAGACATGTAAACAATTTATCCTATATTATGAAAGAGCAAAGTCATGTGATGGCAAGATAATGAATAATAAAGGATAAAAATAAAGGATAAAAAAGCCTCCCAAAAAAGAGGCTAAGGATTAAGAAGATTTGAAGTGCCACATTCTTGAAGTCAGTTCAACTTTTACCTCAGCTTATTTTAGGCCATTAAAGCCTAGAGCAGTGAGCTTAGGTAGAACTTAATTAGGAATACTGAAAGCTAGATTTACGTGCTGCGTTTACCTTCACATATTTGCTGACATATTCACTGTTAGTCTCCCCGCTTAGAATGTCAGCTCCATGTGAGCAAAGAACTTGTCTGTCTTGTCAACATGAGCTCCTTAGCAAAAGAACCCAAAAAACAAAAAAACACAACCCAAAAAACTAATATATTCGGTCTTCATAGGTCAACTAATAAAAGGTCTCATAATTCAGGCACACGCTTTGGCCAAGTTTAGCTTTATCACATTTAAAAAATTCATGTATAAAACAAGTATCAATTCCAAATATAGATTAATTTTTAAGAAAAGCCTTCAGGAAATACAAAAATAATTTGGTGGAAAGGAAACGTTAAAACTGCCTGAAATTGAACAGGTGTACTGTTACTGCACATTACATTATCATTGGGTACAGCTGCTCTCCCCAGGTATCTTGTTTTACTGTTTAGACCACAGGTACTCAACACGGATCTCCTAATTCATGGTATTAGGAAGTGCCCTTAAAATGCTCCATTTCCTCTGCCTGGTCCTCCCCCAAACCCTCCTGGGCCTACTGTCCTGCCCAGCATAATGGTCAGACATTCCAGACTTTTAGGAGATTTTTCTTCTATAGGATTAAAAAATCTTTAAGGATTACAAGTTCAGCCATACACCCCTCAAAATGGTCCAAATTGCTTCAGAATATGAAATCAAGCTGAAATTTTTTTACATTGAATTTTAAACCTTAAATTTCTATATCATTAAGATGCCCATGTTTTAATGAAAAAGTAGAAAACAGAGTATAAAATTCAGTATCACCTATTTGTCTCAAATATAAGTACAGTGAGCATTAAACAAGAATGACAATGTAATAACAAAAACAGACCTTGCACGTGTGCCCAAACTGAATTAACTCTATTTCTCCGAATTTGGGGTGTATGTATGGTAAGTCGAATTTCTGATCTCAGCAACTGTTACATTATTAGTTTAACACTTTTCAAATACTGAAGAAAGCATTTTTCTATTCACGTGGACTTCTTACATATGCATATGCTGACCTGTAAATAGTTTGCCTTCCATGTTTGGTCTCTAAGCACTACATACACAGACTTCAAGTCAGTCTATGTGGCCCAGTGGCACTCTCTTTAGAAGCATCAGTAATACATTTGGCAAATGTGTTGAAATATGAATTATAAATTAACAAAGGTATAATCTTGCTGATATGAAAAAAAGAGTCCCAGATATTCATTTTTTAAAAATGTTAACATCAGAAAAACTACAATTTTCATCAGCTCTATTTCCTGAAAATTCAGTTGAGGTAACCTCTGCAAGTCACAGCTCCACATTTACATACAGTTCTGACCCTCTTTTTGGCTGGGCTGTGGTCAATAGAATCTGAAGATATATCTCCAGAACCTTTCGTTTGATAATCAAAAGTTAGCTCTTCTCCAGCATTTATGGTTCTCGTGGAAAACAATGCTATTCGGGGAAGACGAGTATCGAGGTTATCAATGAAAACATTGAACACCTGAAGATTTGGGTCACAACTATGATTCACAAAATGAGACACATTTCCATATCGAGCTGCATCCATTGTGAATTCGTCAGATTCATAGTCCAGATCAAAGAGATATGTGATTCCTTTGTTGTCATATAACTGTCCCCGTCTTTCAGCTTCTTCACTTGTGATTACCTCTCCAACGTATTCCATGACAAAACTCATTCTTTTAATCTTCACAAGGGTTTTTACACCCCAGCCACGGCCATTGCTAGTTCGAAAGATGCAAAGTGAATATTGTGTGCCTTTTTGTACAATCCTATTGGGACAATTAGGTCCACATTGACACCTTGAGTTGCATTCATAGATGGGGGTACTGGGCGGGATTTTAATTTGTTGGTTTTTGTTATAAGCCAAAAGAACTCCAGCTTCAACAGGACAACATTTGTCAAAGAAGCAATCCATGCATGAACAACCACATGTAGCTTCGTTAACTAAGCTGATTCCAGGAGCCGGTTTATATTCATTAATGTAGTAGAAGTCTAAAGGTGGGCCCTCTAAGTCAACAGTATTTTCAACAAATATCATTCCTTTATGATTCTTTCTTCTGTTGAGTTCATCCTGCCATCGCTGCAGAGCTATCCTTTGTTTAGCCTTCTTCACAATGTACTCAGCAACTGCAGGTTTCAGAGTTTTGTTATTGTTTTTTGGAGTTATTGCTTTGCCTTGCTTTACCTGAGATAAATAATTATGCTTGTCATTAGAGAATTGCTGAAGCAGTAATGGGCACTTGAGATTTTGTAAAGGTTCCCAAGTATTTGTAGAATCTGGCCATCCTTTCCATTTTACAAGATAATATTCCATATCCGCCTCGCGTCTCAGCCCCGGCCACCACCATCTTGAGGAGCTTTCATTCCTGGAAACATTTTTTGATCGTCAGGATGGGGGGATGCTACTGGCGTCTAGTGAGTTGAGGCCAGGGATGCTGCTAAACATTCTACAAGCACAGGGCAGCCCCCACAATGAAGAATTGTCAGGCCCCAAATGTCTGTGGTGCCGAGATTAAGAAACCCTACTTGTGGTTCATGCTCCTAAGGTGACCAGCTCTCTCCACTCTGTCAGAGTGGGGGCCCCCATGCCCTGGCCTTGCTCTTCACCCAGCAGTGTCTGGACCCCAGTGTCTCTGGTCCACTCTGAGCCCCATAGCAGCGCTCTCTGGGGAGCCTTGGGTGGTCTCTCCCTGGACATTTATAGCCTAGCCCTCAGCCACAGCCTTACAGAGGGCCTCCAAGTGGACTTCTGGGGCCCCCTATAAGCACAGCTCCCCATCAGGTGCCCCTGCTGTAGATCCCAGCTGTCTCAGCTGCCCCCCACTCTGGCGCTGCCTCCTGGGCTCAGTGGCACTGCTGCTCTGCTGGGACTCCAGCTCTCTGCGCCACACTCAGGAAGCTGTCTCCAGGCAGCGGGCTGGTGAATGTCCTCAGAGATTTCCCATCGCCCAGGGAGAGCAGTCTTGCCCTGCACGTTATCTACTGTCCGAAACAGCTGTCTCCTAGGCTTTGTCTGCTTTGATCGTTGCTATGGCAGGAGAGTTAGTCTCAGCCCAGTTACTGTGCCAGGACCAGAAGCAGAGGTCTGACCCCTCTCCCCACCCCCAGCTGCTTCCCGTGCTTTAGGAATCAAATCCAGACTGCGCCCCATGGCTAGGGCTGAGGAGCCCTCCGTGGCCTGGTTCCCATCCCTGTCCCACATGGCCTCGGGCATTCCAGGCTTGTTCCTACCACAGGGCCTGACTTCTGCCTGGACCTTTCTTTCCTCGGTCATTCCCATGGCTGGCTCTCTGTCACCCTGCAGTTCTCAATTCCAAAATTGGGTCACCTCCGACCGTCTGAGCTCAAAAATCTTCTTCTAAATCCATGACTTTAATGTAGCCCCTGTTTTATTTGATTCACAGGCCTGATGGCTATCTGATGTAAGCTCTTGTTTATTTGCTGACATATTCACTGTTAGTCTCCCCGCTTAGAATGTCAGCTCCATGTGAGCAAAGAACTTGTCTGTCTTGTCAACATGAGCTCCTTAGCCACCTGGTACAGAGCCTAGTGCGTGGCAGACTCCCAGTCAATACTGGATGAATGGATGGACAGATGGATGCATGGATGCTTGGATGATGGCTGGATGGATGGATGATGGGTGGAAGGATGGATGAATGGATGGATGGATGGATGGATGATGGATGGGCAGATGGACAGATGGATGAGCGGATGCCATATGGTGGTTTAGATAAAGGAGTACAGTCAGAGGAGAACAAAATTAATTCCAGTTGCATGCCTTGGAGAAGACTTTATGAAACAGGTAGTCTTTGATTTTATCCCTGATGTCTGTTTGGAAATAAGCAAAGATCAGAGTAGGAAAGTATACATACATATGTGCAGGAAAGGGGTCAGTAGTTCATTGTGGCTCCAGGATAGTTTTGTGACAGAGAATCATGAGAAATAAAGCTAAGACAGCAGGCCGAAGCCTCTTCATAAGGAACCTTGGCTGCCAAGCCAAAGACTAGACTTCATTCAGTGATCTGTAGGGAGCTGTTGAATGTTTTTGAGCAAGAGATTTAATTAGCATGAAGAGAGCTATAATGTCAGATGATTACTCAGACAAGAGAGAGACTCAGCAAAGGGTTAGGTGAAACAGCATGTCTAAGCTTCTCCAGTTGCATAGAAAGAGTGAGACAGCAGAGTAAGTTTGGAGATAAAGAGAGAAGGAGTGGAGGCACATGTCAAATGACCTTAAGACTGGGGGAGTATAGCAAGGAAGAAATGTGTCTGCCGAGGATGGTGGAGGCTTTGCGGTGTTGTGGGGGTCTGAGAAGCAGCCCACCAGCTGTGACGTTCAAGGTGTGTGGGCACCATGGCTGGGACTGGTGCTGTTGTGGGAGTTTGTCTGGCTGCCTTCAGAAGCTCAGCAGGCTCCATGGAGGGAAGAGACAGCAGGGTCACTTCAAAGAGATGCCAGCAAACATTCAAGAGGTGCCTATTGTATACCAGGCCTTGCCATGTGGCGAGAGTACCAGGGATGGATTGGTGGTGTTTTTGCCCTTGAGGACTTTGCAGTCTCGCAGAGGAGAGAGATGACACCACGAGTCACCACAGCGAGGGCTGGTGAGAGCCGTGGAGAGTAGGGCCCCCGCTGCACCAGCACCAGGGAGGAGCCGCTGGCGCCTTTCTCAGGGATTCTCAGGCTGCTTTGTTAGAATTCCTGCCTCGCGCCTGCTCATCCAGCAAATGTGTGCTGAGCACGTGCTCCGTGCCAGGCGTGGCACCAGCCTTTGCTTCGTAAGTGGAGCAACAGAAATGTGCCCATCGTCCATCCCTGCTAGACATTCGCGGGCCCCACAGGGGTGGGTAGGGGTTGGGTGGGAGGATGAGTACGACGCAGTTCCTGTTTTCTAGGATAGGAGTTTTCAGATGAGGAGGGTCTTTAGCCCCCGCATACCCCAAATTATACATAAAATTTTGTGGATTAAGTGGGGTTTTTTAGAGTAATAGATTTTATTTTTTGAGCTGTTTTAGGTTTACAGAGAAATTGAGCAGAAAGTACATAGTTCCCACACACCCCTCGCACTTCCTTCTGACCCCGGCTGCCCTGTTACGAACATCCTGCGTCAGGGCGGCGCACCGGTTACTGGCAAGGGGCCAGGACTGATGCCTTAGTACGGACCGAAGTCCGTAGTGGACTGCAGGTTCGCTCTTGGTGGTCACGTTCTGTGGGTTTGACAGCGTATCACGACACTGCAGTGTCATAGTGCCACCCTTCATCCCTCCCTGCCCCGAACCCCTGCACTTTGTCCTGATACTTTTCCCTTTCCCAAAATGCCATATAGTTGGAATCGTATATTCTGTAGACTCTTCAGATGAGCTTCTTTCAGTAAAATCTTACTGCTCAAAGTGTCTCCAGGCCAGTGGCACCAGCCTTATTTGGGAGCTTGCCAGACACGCTGAACTCAGGGCAGACTCTTGGGCCCCACACCAAGCCTGCTCCGTCAGAACCTGCGTTTTAGCAACACCCGCGCCCCGTGGTTCTATGTGCACGAAAATTTGAGGAGCACTGGTCTAAGGGGCCTGTCAGACAACCAGCGAGGGCTATGATCAGAGGAGGCAGAGGCTCTGGGGCCCTTGCTCCCACTCCAGGGGAGAGGGGGGCAGAGGATGCCACCAGCACTTCCCGCAAAGGGAGTGGAGTTGATCCCTTTGGGGATTTCCCCCCGGTAGAACTACATAGTCCAGTACAGTAGCCACAGCCATGTCTAACTATTTAAATTGAAATTAATTGAAATTAAATAAAATTTACAGTTCAATTCGTTAGTTTCAATAGCCAAATTTCAGGCTCTTGAATAGCCACCTGTGGCTAGTGGGCACCCTATTGGAGAGCACAAATACAGAACGTTTCTGTCGTTGCAGACAATTCTGCTGCACCGTAGTGGTTTAGAGGACAAAAGGCCCAAGAAGCAGGAGAGTCCGTGGGAAGGGGAGCTCCTGTCTCACCAGGTACTGGAAGTGGAGCAGTCGCCCTGGTCCCTGAAGGCACACTGCCAGCCCTGTAGGTTTCCGTCCCCTTCCTTCTTTCCCGCACAGTTCCGAGGGCACCCACTGAAGAGTCAGGACCAGAACTGCAGCCACAGCTGTCTTGGCAAAAGGGACCATGGCTCAGGCTCACCTGCGAGATGCTGCCGGAGGCTGCGACGGCTGTGCACACAGGGGCACCGGGCTGGGAGGAGAGTGGCGGAGACAGGAGATGCGGGTGCGACTCAGGCAGTGTGGCTGGTAACTAGCTTCATCCTCTTTCTGGATAAGAAATAGCCTAGGACACAGATTTCCCGCCAAACCCCACGCTCCCCTCATCACCCGGTACTGTACTTTTTGATTCTGCCTTATTACTTTTTAAGAATCGATACTTGGATTTCATGAGGTTTTACCAAGTTCTTTGCTCCCTATGGTTTCTATTTCTTTGTACAGGATTAAATTTTCTTCTTGTTAAAGTTCATCCTTTAGCAGTTCTTTGAGCAAGGGCTTGGAGGAACTAAGCTCCCTTAGTCTATATATTTCTGAAAAGACATTTCTCTCTTTCTCTCTCTCTCTCACTCTCTCTCTCTCTCTCTCGCTCTCTTGGTAGGGTAGCTGGGTATAGAAGTCTGGGGTGGTAATTTTTAGGTTGTATTTTGAACTCGGGTGCCCCTGTGGCAGGAGCAGCGCGTGGCCGTACCCATGCCTGGCACTCTCATGTTGAGTCCTGGGCTGAGGGGTAGAGTTTTTTAACTTCTGGCTCATGATAGGACCATCCTTTTCTGGCTCCTAGCTTTTTGCAGTAAGCCCATGTAGCTTTTCATCATGCCTAGAGCGTGCAATATTAACTCTACCCTTGAGAAGGAATTTAAACCCCAGACTCTTGGGCCTCTATTTGCTCAGATGGCCCCATGGGGTTTCTAGGTCTATGTCTCCACATCCACTTTCAGTTTTGACTTCTCTCATTTCTGGCATCTGGGACAATTTTCTGTCTTCATTATAATCCAGGCTATGGATTTTAAAATGTTGGTTATATGTCATAATTACATGTTTTATGTATCTCCCATAAAAATATTCTTAACCCCCAGTATTTGCTTCCCTTTATCTGCTAGTCTTGGACATGACATATTAAATGTTCAAGTAGCAAATTAATATTAAGGGAAATACCCCTGAGTTGTTCATGCTTGATTCAGCAGCTCAGTTTTATTCATAAACTCATATGTCAGCGGTGGTGATTTCATATTTTGTGATGCCCATAGTTTTATTTTCTGGCAGTAAATTTTCTTCTTATACATGGAATAAAATTATATTCATCAAGAGCCCCATGAAGCTATTTGTTTGCTGTTTTAGCAAGTTTTAGAGCCAACATCTAGGTCTACTTTCCTCTCTTGTGGATGAGTAGCTAAGTCCCAGAGAGAGTACACGGCTCGCCCAAGGCCGCAGCTGGTGGAGAAGTGGACCAGGACATAGAAACCCCGGTTGAAACTTCTGTCACCTTTTGAGTCTTTTTCTTATCTGCTAAATGAAAAAGTTAGACCAGACATGGACTCAGGACCTGACTCACTAGCTTTGTGACCTTGGGCAGGTCGCAAAACCTCTCTGGACCTCTGTCTTAATAAGCCCTGGCCTGTGCACCTCAAACGGCTGTGAAGAGTGTGAAACTGCCGTGTATGAAAGAGCTCCGAGCAATGCAAGGGCTACAGAGAGGCACATGCGACTCTTGTCATTCGGACGCTGTGACTGGCTCCTGCAACGCCTTCCTGGTTAGGAAGAAGTGTGCTTTGCAAAGGCAGCATGTTTGGATGATTTCTGACCCAGCGCAGCTTTGTGAGGGAGCAGGGATTTCTTCTGCCTGTGAGCAGCAAGATGATGGGTCTTTGATACCTCTTAGTTGGCTGGGGTTGTGACATTTGATGTCCTTCTCTGGGAAAGCTCATTGGTGTGCGAATCTCGTGTTCCATTTCTCTCACTTCTCATACGCAAGCCAAGCGCTGGAAAGCCCTGCAGGGCAAGCGCCGAGTCCTGCATGATGTTCACAGAGAAGTCAAACATAGCTCCGGCTGGCTCCTTGATTAGAGCCTTAGTGACTTTCCAAAGGGTAGAGGCGAGGTGGGTACAGCTCAGCCTCCAGTGTCATATCCAGCTCAGCCCTTCATCCCCCACCCCTGCAGGAGGCAGTGCTGCTTGGCAGCAAACTCCCAGGCTCAGAACCGGGGACCCAGCTCCATCACTAACCTTGAGTGGCCACTGTCGCTCCCTTGTGCCCGAGTTCCCCCAGCCATAAAATGATGGCATGGAGTAAAATCCCTGGTTTTCAGTGTTTTCACTATCGTAACCCTTTCTTTGATTTTCTTTTCCCCCTTATGACCCAGCCCCATGGGCTATTTCATGCTGACAGGAAGTTCCTCTTAGCAGTTGTATGTGTCTGATTAATAAAAGGTGGAAAAGCCCAGGAATTATTCTTTAAAATGTCCTTTGGGGGAAATGAGGCCCAGAGAGAAGAGATGATTTATCTGTGGTCTTGAGAATGTTTTTATATTATGAATCATCTGAAAGGGGGAACTGCTTGTCTCCACGGTTATAGATGACAGTGCATTGAGATTTCTCAAGGCTCTATAAATAAATGGGGTAAAGGGGTCACATGAATGTCATTCTAAGCAAGTGTATGGTTAATATCCTTGGGGGTTAATCAAAGCTACACCTGATCACCACCCAAGGGAACCAGTCCTTCCAGAACATGGACAATATCTTGCTCAATACTACTTCTCCCATGGTGGATTGCATACTGCCTAGCACATAATAGGTGTTCATTAAATGCTTGTTGTAGATGATGGTCATCATCTCGGAACTATGCTCCTGCCTGGGGCAGTGGGTACCCTGATAATTGCTTAAAGCTCCAAACAGGTGACAGAGCTGGAGAAGACAGAATGTGGGAAAGAAAGAAAGGGTTCCCTAAGATAGACAGATGTGGAAACTGAGTAACAGACACAGGCTTCTTTAGCAGATGCCTCAGAGACAGGAGATAAAATAAACCCATAAAATTGTGCAAGGCGAACCTGGAGGGATGCACCTGAACCTCCTTGTACCCTGCTCCCCTTTCTCTCTCAACCCCTGGAGGATTGTTCCACCCCATCCAGAAGAGAAATGCAGCTGAACTTGAGGCTGACGAACTGCTCAGAGGAGCGTTTGTGGAGATTTCTCGAGGGTGGTGTGCCGGAAGGACATGAAACCTCCGCGCCCCTCCTCCCATACCTTGCCCTGTGCATCTCCTCACCCGTGACCTTTGTAATACCCTTTGTAATAAACCGGTAAACACACACAAAGAAAGAACTGCTCGGGAAAAATCCACAAATCGCAGATGGTGATAAAAGGAGTTCAGAAGTATTTTTAACCTTGAGATGATGTCAAGGCAGAGGCAACTGAATTCCAGAAAACTCCTAGGTTTTCTGATCAGAGACTGAATGCTGGTTTTGGTTTCTGACGTCACCTGGGCAGGGATTTGCTCAGTTTACGCCTGCTGATGTGAGCTTGAGTAGTTGGACACAAAGCCCACGTCTTCTCCCCAGAGTGTCCCTGAGTAGTGCTTCCTTTTCCTTTTTGCAGATATAATGCATCTCCTCCGGTGAGACCGCAGCCCCCTGCTGCGCTGGGACCATCCCTCCCTCTGTTGTCTTGTTGCTTGGCTCTGCCTACGCAGGCAACAGCCAGCACGTACCCACCACCTAGACCAGGGGTGAGGAACCTGTGGCCTCGGGGCCACATGTGGCCTTCTAGATCCTTGAGTGCAGCCTTTTGACTGAATCCAAACTTTAAGAACAAATCCTTTTATTAACCTGTGAAGTGTGGATTCGGCCGAGGGGCTGCACCTGGGATCTGCTGGCCACATACCCAGCGCCCGGACTCTACCACCGACGTGTCGGCTTCATCGCAGACCTGTCCAGCCTTCTATCCGTCCGTTTTAGTTTATTTTTGATGCATTTCTGAGTAAGTTGTAGACATCAGTACATTTTAACCCTAAACACGTCAACATGCATCTCTTCGTTTACTTTTTACGTAATCGTTCTTGGTTTGTTGCTCAAGCCAAAGCCCCAGGAATCACTGACAGAGGTGTCAAAACCGAGGACAGCCCCTCGCTTACGGTGGCCTCGCGTGGAAGCCCAGGCTGCCGTGTCCCGCGGCATCATTTGGGAGGGAGCGTTGTGGCAGCCGGCCCGGCTGGGGTTAGTCCCTCTGAGGCTTGCCACCTCCTGTTTTCCCTCCTGGCAGGCGGGGCCAGCCTGCCGCCCTGCCGTGCTCTCTCCCCCAGGCACCGGGGACCTGCTTCTCTGCGCTGGGTCCGCCGGGCTCGCTGTTGCATTGGTCAGATTCGCAAGGATCTGGCATCATTGAAAGCTGCTGCCTCTTCCATTCGGATGAGCAGAGGAGGGGCCGTGTGAGCAGGTGGCACCGAGACCCTGAGGGTCAGCAGGATACGGAGAGGTAGGAAGAGAAGAGCACGTAAGCGCGGCGGGCAGGTCACTGTACTGAGCGACAGAGCCCGATTGGGCCTGTGCAGGGCAGAGATGCGGGCAAGACGAGAGCCCCTGGGAAGGGACTAGAGGGGCACCAGGCTCATCCGTGCCGGGCCTGTCCTCGTGGGAGACGGTGGCAGTCTGCTGAGAAGAGGAGACGGGCTGTGGCCAGGCACGGAGAGACAGACGCAGCGTGGACTCGCGTGGACTCCACGTGGGATCTAGAAACGTCTGACTCTAAGAAGCAGAGAGTAGAATGGCGGTTACTAGGGGATGGGAGACAGGGTTGGGGAGATACCGGTCAATGGGTACAAAATGTCAGTTAGACAAGAGGTCCGTAGTAGAGCACAGTGACGGTAGTTAATAATAATGTATTACGTGCATTAAAAGAGTAGATTTTAAGTGTTCTCACCACAAAAACAAATGGTAAATATGTGAGCCATTCTATAAAGTATGTGAATTTCAAAACATCAAGTCTTATGCTATAAATATATACAATTTTTTTTGTTGATTGAAAAATAAAACTAAAATTAGGCAGTAAAATAATTTGGAGCCTATTTTAGAAAGTGAGGGCTTGGGGGTCAGGCAGGTCTGGGTTGAGTCTTCCACGTGCAGCTGCGTGAGCCCCTTCCGGAGCCTCCCAGGGCCCCAGTTCCAGGTCTGTGAAGCGGGGATGATGATAGCGCCTGGCTTTGTAGTGTCGCTAGGGCCGCAGGAGATAAACAGC